GATTCCTTGCGATCTTGCTACGACACGAAAAGTGCAAAAACGCATAATCGCACCGGCCCGTCTGGTTCGTTCCAGCCTGGGTTAATATCATCCCCTGCGGACGCCTGGATGCCGTGTACGGATTTAAAAAAATTTGCATATTTTTCCCACCAAAAAATTTGCATAAAATTTGCATGTATATATAGATGTAGGGGTATTCACTGTGCATGTGCTAGCTAAAAATTTCATATTCAGCCCCCAGCTGTGCATTGTACTCACGTAAGGGCATATGAAATTTTCTGCAGTAAAATTACTAACTCGGGAACCAGAAAAGCTAGAAAGCTGAAATTTTAGGAGGATGTTCCCTGTCCAAGCACAACTTAAGTATTTCAAATTCAGTCTTGAGGTATGCGCGGTTCTTACGTACGGGCACTTAAAATTTTGGCTGAATTTCTGACTGGACAACTTGGTTACTTTTAAAAAGCGATCGTTAAATGGAAATTGTACATTTGCTTTATGCAAAATTCATGGTGATTTATGCTAGTGACCGCAAAAGGCCACTATAAAGCAACAACCATTCATGCAATTAATGACCTGAGCACTTCAAGTCTGGTGCAAAAACGCATGATCGCTTGGGCCCGCCGAGTGCGTTCCAGCCCGGGTTTCGGTAAATACTCGCTTTTTGGAAAAGTGAAAAATACAAATTTGTTGAGAAAATGCAAATTTCCAATTCACTAAAAACTGGAAATATTGCAAGAGCGGTCGTTTGTCAAAAAATTCAAGTATGCAAGCGAACTGAATGTTCATTTACATATTCGGGTGAGGGCGGTTGTTCGCTGCAAAACGCACTCGTTTCTGATTTTTTGATAAACTTTAGTATTCCTCGTTCCCACCTGCAAGAAATTTCACTTCCAAGCAGATTTAAGACCGCACTTGAAAGTAGAATATTCTAGCGAATTTTCAGCCTCGCAGCTTACCCGGTAAGCGACACCTCGCTACAAATATCTCCGAAGTGTTTAAGTCGCGGCGCAAGTGCAAGTCGGTGCTCATTTTAGGCATACGATATGAGCGCCAAACATGCTGACAAAATTTCAGCCACTGTTTCCCGGCAAGTTTTCGAACTAGCACGGCACCAGTTGCAAACTTTGACGTGGTGACGTGGTCGTGCGCGCTGCACAAGCGTGCGCGACAGCTGAATTTGAATTTTTTAGCTCGCACATGCGCAGAGATTATTCCTGCAAAGTCTCAGTTTTGTACCTTGCCTGGTTTGCAAAATCGTTTCCGTCAAAGAAATTTGCATATTTTTTGGGGGGTCCATAAGCTGGGTCTAGGTGCGTGTGGGGGAAGATCTTAAAAAGGGAGGGTGACACATTGATTAGGAACATATACCCAAAATTTCAGCCTCCCAGCTTTCCTGGTTACTGGGATGAAAGTGGGTGAGGAAATGCACTTGCTTCCGAACACACACACACACACACAGGCAACCTTTCGACAATACTCATTTTTGCTGGATGCTGCAGCGCTGCACAGCAAAATCGCATAAAAACGCATCATAAATAGCGATGTGTGTCATGTAGGAGGTGCAGTCACGCGTTTTGCGCATTTTTGTCCAGCGCACGCTAGCTTTTATAAATGTTCGCTACATCAGTGTTTGGTGTGTACAGAAATCTTGGGTGTTCTGACTGACCAAAACTGTTGTGTGCTCGTAGTTGAGACCTAGGCGTTCGTAGAAGCTGAACGTAAAATATTCAGAGTCGCATATGAAGTCCTTTTGAAAATTCAGCTTCCTGTTTTGTCTGGATGTAGGGTTAGGATTCCCGCTAAATCTTACATGTCTGTAAATGAAATGTAGGTGGTTGTGGATGTCAAATTTAAATTTGCGGCGTCTCACATAGGCAGGGAACATTCTCCTGAAGTTTCAGCCTTCCAGTTTTTTCGGTTCTCGATTCATTAATTTCCCCGCTAAAATTTTCACATGTTCATATGTAAAACCTGAGCGCACTGAGAAATTAAATTTGAAACCTTTGTTAGCGACAAATATTGAACTAAAGTTTCAGCATTGTAGGTTCTGTGGCTTCTGAATTAGCAATTTCCCTCCAAAACTTTCAAGCACCCATAAATAAGGCGCATGAAAGTTGACATAATGTTTCTGGAGTAGCACTAGACAGGAAACATACTCCTAAATTTTCTTCATTCTTTACTAGTCCTTGAGTTGAAAATTCAGGACAAAACAAATAGGCCCGCACGCACAAGCAAAAAGCACATATATGAACACGCATAAACACGCACAAACATGCACTCAGGGTCATAACAAATAAACACAAATTGCTTTTAAAATAACATGTTTGATCATTTTTGGAGAGGTGTGATTTTCTCAATGTAATCCGACTGTGATCTTGTTAAAATTAGCAAGATTAATGAGACTTTGCAGGAATTGCATGGACAATTGCGGCACTCTACCACTGGTGGCATGGTGATATTTTTTATGTAGAGCCAGGGACACTTGCATTTTCAGTCACAATATTCTGCATTGAAGCACTGGTTTGTATTACTGTTATCATACTGCGAAGGCGCCCGCCGATTGGTGGCGAACTGGGTGGGCCAATCAAATATAAGGTACTACTTTCACCATTTAACCTCTTTGCTCAGACTAGAGAAGTCGATTTGCTATTAGAAAAAAGAAAGGCATTTTGCTTGGGTGAAAATTCTTTTATGTCTGAATTGCTAGCATCCCGTTAAGAGCTTTCATTTTTCGCTTTTCCAGATCCTAACATCAGGTTTATTCGTCGTACTGTGGCTTACCTACCTCGGTCTCTCTGCTCTCGAGTCATACTGCATCATCGCCGGATTTTAGTCCAGTTTATTCACGAACATTGTTCAACGTTTTATGGCGGGTTTACCCAAAAACCTTTGTTGTTTGCTGTTTTGATTGATTTGTAGCCCGAAGTTCACATTGTCAGTGTGCAGTGCCAAGCCTTGTTCGCAGCAAAAGGGATTTTGGTCCTCAAATCCACCGTTCCTTAACCAAAATGGCCCTTCTCGAAAGCATCATTACACACAAAAGTGCAATTCTTTCCCAGTTTGGCAGAATTTGAATTTCGCTTTCTCAGTCCGGCTTTAGCAAAGTTTCAGCTTTCGTATTCTCATCCATTCCGCCTCTCTCTCATTCAATTTGCCACACATTTTGCATTCCAGCTTATCCGTTTGGCACACTCTGAGAGCAAAAAGAGGCGCTACTCTTTCTTGCTGGTTGTTTTCTGGGCATTTCACTTACTAACGTAAAAGTGCAAGGCTGTGTACTGCTCTCAACGTACTGAGCATGCATCTGTCAAATTTAAATTGAAAGACTGGGAAATTGAAATTTCAAGTGAGCATAATGTCAGCGTCTTAAAAATTTTGCGAGATTTTGCGAAACACTTTTTTTTGCGAAATTTTGCGAAACACTTTTTGCAGAAAATTTTGCGAAATTTTGCGAAACACTTTTTGGTCGCTTGCTTTACTGGACATCCATCCACAGAGAGCCGAAAAGATTAAAAAAAGGCAACACCCGAAGCTCTGTCAATTTTTGACACGGATCTGCTCCTCCTAGTGCTAAAAATTGTTTGTTGAATTAGTTTGTGTGCGTGTGCCTCATTCGTCTTGTCACTGGCTACTAGCCATGACTATGCATAATATTTTAAATTTATGCTTTGAGTATTTTGGTTTTATGATTTTTTCTTGCGGGAGGAAACGACTGCAGTTTCCACTAACGTAAATAACTGATGTGCACATCCAACTGCTGCATCGTAGAACAATGCATCCTGCAACACCACCATTGTACTGCTATGAATTTAACGACTTGCACGATTGTCGTGCTAATTTCAATACATCCACCACAAAGTTGCTGAGTCCACTTCTTCTTTTGACCATGAGCATAAAGTTAACCCCAGTCAGGGCTGCAATACTGCACACTTACTTTATCCCCCCACAGCAAAAGGTCTACATGCAACATAATAGATTACAAAACACTTATGAATGCGGCGAAAGCATCTTCTTCATTACAATTATTTAACTTCTAAAGGAATTCATCCGAGAACCATTTCTCAACAAAATATCATGTGCTGACTCCAGTATCGCGCAACTGCGCCTCATTTTAGTGGGTGCATTTTAATGAATTGTGCTCGACGACAATTTTACTAATAAAAAAGCCAGTAACGGCCCGCAAAAGGCTTGCTAGTATGATCCCGTTTTTACGCATAGCTAAACAGTTGCCTATTTGATGAGTGACAGCTTTGTTTCAGAATTTTTTCTTTTTATGGGTTTTTTGCAGCTATGCAATGCAGAAAACACATATTGACGAGGATTTGCCTGTGTGTGTGTGTGTGTGTCTGTGTGTCTGTGTGTCCTTGTGTGCATCTGTTTCGGTTTTTCATCTCAAGACCTACAAAAGCTACAGGGCTGACAATTTGGAAACTCAATCTACATGCATGTACGGGCCCCAATCCCCAAAATGGGCGCTCTTACCCGCGTGGTACCCACGTGCGAGCCCAACAAAGTTTTTTATGGGTAAGTTGATAACTCGGAGATCTGAGAAGCTAGAAAGCTGAAATCTTAGGGTAATGTTCTCCCTCGAAGTAAGTATTAGCGAGCTCAAACCCAACCCCGGGCGAGCGTGGTACCCACGTACGGGCCTGCCAAAATTTTTTTCGGGTAAGTTCATAACTCGGGAATTTGAAAAGCTAAAAGACTGTAATTTTAAGAGGATATTCCCCGTCCAGCTAGGTCTCACTGAGCCTATACCCAGTCACCGGATAAGCGTGGTACCCATGTACGGGCTCGCCAAGATTTTTTCCGGGTAAGTCGCCAACTCGGGAATCTGAGAAGCTAGAAGGCTGAAGTCTTAAGCGGATGTTTCCTGTCCATCTAGGTCTTATTGAACTCAACCTCAGGCTCCAGGTATGCGTGGTACCCACGTACAGGCCCACCAAAATTTTATTCGGGTAGGTTGCTAACTTGTGAACCTGAGAAGATAGGAGACTAGAGTTTTGAAGGGATGTTTCCTGACAGTCGTGGTGACTAGTCTGAAATTCTTTCAGCTAGAAGCAGAAAACAGTGCCGTTAGCGACAAAAATCTGCGGGGAGCTATGCAAAAAACGCATTCTCGCACGGGTAGCCCGTGCGTTGGCCAATTGTTTTTACTACATAAGAGTAGAACATTTCGGTTTGAAATGCGAAGATGTTTGGTTCTTCTAGCGCAGTTCAGGACAGAGATGTGGCATAGAATCATGATAAAAAAAAAAATTGAACTTTTTAACTTATTCGGTCTCAAGTTAAAAGTTTTGTAATTTCGAGTTCTACATGGCCCTACGTACATGTGAGAAGGTGGTTAAGAAGACCAGTTTGTATGTTTTAGAACAAAGACACTGCTAAGGATAAGGATTTAAAAAGTTGAAACTTTCTTGCTCGTCTGCTTGCAGAGTTGAAAAATTTTGAATTTCACATACCCCTACGTACGTGAGAAGTAGACATAAGTCTAGATTTTCTGGGTCGCATACGGGCAGAGATGTTTTAGCTCCAAGTTGGTAATTTTTCTGTCAAAGCCTTCACAAGTCCAAGAGTTCAGCAACTATGCTTATTTGGTTGCCGAATTGAAATACCCGGATGCACACATACACGCAAGCACTCACATACACATACACACACACACACACACACACACACACTCACACATACTCACATGCACCGTCGTCACAATGCACGTTTTTATGGGACTGTTACTGTGTAACAGCACTGCACCGCACAAAGCATCATTGTCAAAATCGCTGGGACAACTGGGAAGCAAGCTCTGCGTTCCCGATGCTACTGGGATGCACCTGCATGCCTGACGCGATCATGCCAGGCTTTTTTGATTTTCACGTGCATTCGTTGAGAGCGTTTGCAGGCGACCCACCGACCTAACGGAGGAGAAATGCACACTCGATCGGTTTTCGCACCAAAACTTCTGTGCGGTTGCAAATGGAACTTCGGCTTACCCGGGAACTAAATTTGAATTTGCGAGGCTCCTGCATAGGCAGAAAGCATCCTCCTAGAGTTCTAAGCTTTCTAGTTCCTCTTACTCCTTAGGTATTAATTTCTCCCGTCAAAACCTTCACGGAGCCACACGTAACATCCAGGCGAACGGGAAGGCCGGAATTTAAATTTGCGGTGTCGCATACTTACAAGGGACATTGCCTAGAATTCTAGCCCCTTAGCTTTCGTGGATCCAAAAATAGAAATTTTCCTCGCCAAAACTTTCACAGAGCCGTACTTGGTACTCGGAAGTAAATAATGGCTTGATTTTAGTTTTTGGGGCCGCATGTGGGCATGAAACATCCTGATACAATTTCACACCTCAGCTTTCGTGGTTCCTGAGATACACACTGTATGCACATGGATGAAATGCACAAAGAAACACTTTGAACAGCAACCGTCCATTAGCGCCGTTCTCTAGCTATGCAGCAAACAGCATTCTTAGTCGCTATGCCTAATACTGTATTATCTGGTGGTCGGCCTGCCGGAAATCCTGATATTCGTTTCATCCCCTAAACGGATTACTAATTCAGCACAAAGATAATACAAACAGCATCGATCGCTAATGCACTGCGTAACACGTCACAATTCTAAGGATCCAAAAGGTAAGAGGTTCGGTCCCCCAAAATGTCGCTTGTAAAATGAGTTCGCTTACGACACTATCGAGATCTCCGCTGATTTTCAGCGAATACTTTTAGCCAACAGCCAACAAAAAAAAAAAAAATGGCCAACGCACGGGCTGCCCG